GACCGGCGGGCCCGGGATGGGCGCTCGGCGCTTCGGCTCCTCGCTGGGCTGGGGACGTGGAGAAGGGCTGCAAGGACGCAGCAGCTCCTGGGCAGAGGCTCTCTGGGCTCTGTGTTTGCTGCTATAGGTCCTTCCTTCCCTTCGGCCAGCTGGAGGGTGCTCTTTGCCTGGAGCTTCTCCTCAGGCAGCAGAACTCTGATGCCAGAGAGCGCCAAGTGTTTACAGCCTCAGAGAATGTGCGTGTGAGGAGAGGGTGCTCAGTACCACGTTTAAGACTGAGACTGACCTTTTGATTGGCATTGGAGGCTAGAATGTGTGAGGTCTGGCTCCTTCCTCCACCTGGTACAAAGATTTCCTGCAACTTATAAGCTTACAGAATAGAACTTGCTGAAATAAAACTCGGTGAGTTTATTTGTCTGTATGATGAAAGGCTAAAAACAGCCTTAAACTTAAGATACTCTTTTTCAAGACTTTCAAATTAGTGTCTTCCATGATCTGTGGTCAGAGAAGACCCTAAATAGAATCATCGCTCTTGATTCAAGTTCAGAATGGAGCTACCCTAATTTGTGTTAGATAAGGATGTCTCCTTCTTGCCACAGAGTCTTTTTGGATCAATTTGTGAGTGCTGGCAAAATCCCAGGAGTGCAGAGCTGGGACTGGTGTTCATAGAATCACAGAATGGTTTGGGCTGGAAGGGACCTTAAAGATCACCTGGTCCCAACTCCCTGCCATCAACAGGGACCCCTCCCATCAGACCGTGTTGCTCAGAGCCCCATCCAACCTGGCCTTGTTGTTTGTGTGTTTTTTCTAATATTGTGCTGGATGTTTTCAAAGGCACCCAAGGTCATTCAAGCCATAAACACCAGTTTGAGGAACGTCTAAACTGGCTTCTCTGTAGTAGTTGTGTTACCTAAGTGTACTGCTACTCTGTAGCCATTTTCACCAAGGGTGGTACTGTGTTTTGGTCTGCCTTCCAGAAACTCTTAGCATTTGTTTTCGGGCAGATATTGGCAGCTCTAGTGGAACAGCGTAACCAGTATCACTCAATTGTTATTTATGCTTCATGTGAATGTCTAGTAGGGTGTGTATTGTTTTTACCTGATTTCACCACTGTTTAATCCTGATTAGGGATGTCACAACACATGATCAAGCAAGTAAGGTTGGTGAAGCTGGATACCTGCAACTGCATGGGGACTAGGATAATCATCTGCACTTCAGAATAATAAACAACAACAGCCTGGCTTACCATTGGAGCTGTGTTCTCTTCAAAGCACTCTCATTCTTTTCTATCAGAGCACCAAAAATACGATAAATAAAGTGTTCATTACCCCCCACCTACTCCAGCTGCTGAAGTAGAATAGTGTGATATGCTTGTAAACAGTCTGATCTTTCTGCTTCCATTTGACTGGCAAGAATTAGGAAAGGAAGTACAGGTGATATTGCTGGTACCTGTATACATCTCTCACAGGTTCTTCCCTTGATCTTTGTGGTTTTTTTAGTTCTACTTTTTGGATATTAAGAGAAGACTATTACAAAGAAAAAAAATCAAACAACAAAAAACCAAACCAATTCACCAAGGGTGGTACTGTGTTTTGGTCTGCCTTCCAGAAACTCTTAGCATTTGTTTTCGGGCAGATATTGGCAGCTCTAGTGGACCAGCGTAACCAGTATCACTCAATTGTTATTTATGCTTCATGTGAATGTCTAGTAGGGTGTGTGTTGTATTTACCTGATTTCACCACTGTTTAATCTTGATTAGGGATGTCACAACACATGATCAAGCAAGTAAGGTTGGTCTAAGCTGGATACCTGCAACTGCATGGGGACTAGGATAATCATCTGCACTTCAGAATAATAAACAACAACAGCCTGGCTTACCATTGGAGCTGTGTTCTCTTCAAAGCACTCTCATTCTTTTCTATCAGAGCACCAAAAATACGATAAATAAAGTGTTCATTACCCCCCACCTACTCCAGCTGCTGAAGTAGAATAGTGTGATATGCTTGTAAACAGTCTGATCTTTCTGCTTCCATTTGACTGGCAAGAATTAGGAAAGGAAGTACAGGTGATATTGCTGGTACCTGTATACATCTCTCACAGGTTCTTCCTTTGATCTTTGTGGTTTTTTTAGTTCTACTTTTTGGATATTAAGAGAAGACTATTACAAAGAAAAAAATCAAACAACAAAAAACCAAACCAAACCACAAACCAACCTACAGTTCAGATGGAGAACATGGATGGATGCTTATTGTACATCTTTGTGCCTGTCTGCTGTAATACAGTATGACAAAAAGTACGTGTGTACAAGAGAAAACAGGACAGGCCTCCACAGTGGAAATAATGAAACAGCTCTTCCTCTGAATCTGAGAAATCCATTATTTCTTCATCATGTTCAGAAGAAATAATGGCAAAAAGGCCAGCCTTGTGGCTTGTTGAATGAAAAAACAGATGTGAACATGCTAGCATCTTCTTTGTGTGGATTCTTCACAGTCAGGGTGCTACTCCATAAAATGCCTGGTATTTTGAAGAGATTATTTAATCCAAAAGCAAAAACATCACACAGGCAAGTCTCTACATGGCCTCAGATGTAAAGCTTGAGCCTGCTATTGCATACTAAGTTGCAAAAAATAATTAAAACATCTTTGAAAAGAAGGTTGATTTGGAAGTGTTATTGCCTGCCTCAGGAAGGGGGCATGCTGCTCCCTCGCACACATTTGTGATCTGCCTCTTTTTCTGTACAGGCAGAGTCCAAACCAAACTTAAAAATTATACTTAATATGCATAATTGAAATGTGTATGTATGTACTTATGTATGTGTATATATATCATTACAGACACCTCTCCCCCCCTGCCTGTATTCTGCTTTTCAAAAGTACCTAACACCCTGCTTATCGTCTTTACAAAACCCTTGTTTGAAACTTGAAGACACAGTGCCTACCTACCCCTTTTTTAGCTCAGGAAATTCTCTAAGGCAGCAGATACAGGTCCAGCCTTCAAGAATTCTGTGGATCAAAAGGATGGCTTCTGGGACTTCCCATAAGAAGACCACGTACCAACTAATTACTCACCACCAATAATACTCTTCTTGCCTTGCATCCCTTCACATATTTAGTGCACTCGCACTTGAACAAGTGACTTCAGTTTCTTCACTACTTCTTCACCTGTCCTCCAGCCTTCTTCTCTAAGGCAGTTTTCCACTTTGGAAACCGTAGCTCTCTTCCACCAAAGCAAGCTGCCTCTCTCCAAATCTAGGAAGCAACAGACAGCAAGACATTATTCCTTGAACACAAAGTGATTGTTTAGATGCTCTCTCCACTCGGAAGGGAATCTGGAAATCTGACCCACTTTAGATGGGCAGAGTTACTATCACACACAAATCAAAGCAAAGATACTCTGCTTTTTTAATTATCTGAATGCTGAGGACAAATCCATAATCTTTAAAGCACTAAATAAATACAAATGATAATAATACAGATAAAGTAAACACAGATCATATTTGCAATGCCCACTTAAAGCACAAGTGAAGGCAGTCAGCCATTCCATTGGCAACATGAAAAAAAAAAAAGAAGTTGAGGAGACTAGCTTCATAACCATCTTCCAAGTCCTCAGCTCAGAAGCAAAGTTGGAAACAGATTCCTGACTGTTGCTGCAGGTGTAGATCATTACCACAAGCAAGCTCCACCTGATTCAAGTCTTTGATATGTTGTGAAGTTAACTTGGTTTTTATTTTTTAGGGAATTGTAGCACAGGTGATTTCAACCCAGACACCTTGTCATTTTACTTCCATCCTCTGTTACAGACTGACTTATTCCCAGAGCACGGAAACTGCATACCCTGCCTGAAGGCTCTATCTCTCCTGAGTCTTTTCTGTAATTCTCTACTGTGCAGAGAGTCTGGGAGACTATGCCAATACAAGTCCTGCAGACCCAACACCGCAAGGCACCTTGACATACAGCCTATACCTTTGTCGTATCCTTTCCTTGTACATCTGCATCCTTGATCATGAGGACACCCCTGGTTCTAGTGTGAACAATGCTGAGGGCAAGGGAAGAAAGTGTGAAGGATTTTTTCACCCATTTTCCCTCAACAAAGCTATGTTTTCCCAGGTATGTGCTATCTGCACAACTTCAGGCTGCAAACTTGGTGGCTTTGGCAGAGAAAAGACCTGGCAAGGACCACAGAGAAAGTGTGCTACACACTGAGTGGATAAAAGCCACTGCCTGGGGTGCTCCCACACCTACCAAAGCATCAGTGACCCTACTAAGTCTCCCAGGAGAGACAGTAGTTCTGCATTCTCCTGGAACACATGATAGAGATCTGGCTCTAGATCCATCTCTCCTGACTTTCACAGCAAAGGAAGAGTCAGGAAAATGACACACAAGCTACTACAGAACTTGGTCTCTAAAGATCACACCTACTCCTTCACAGATATGAACATAGTGGTGTTAGTCCAGTGAAGTCCTGGAAAGTCAATTAAGGTACTCAAAAGGTCCTTTCCAAGCACAACATCTGTGATTCTGTGAAGAACCCAACATACAATGTGCATACATTGAGAGAGCTGGGGCTGCTCAGTCTAGTGAAGAAGAGGCACAGGCTCAACATCAGCAGCTGATGGGAAGGTGTAAAACACAGGGCCAGACTCTTAGTGGTATCCAGTAAAAGGGTACAAGGCATTTGGCCCAAACTGGAAAAAGTACATTACATTTAAATGTAGCTTTAATTTCTTTGTTTTTAAACGGAGTGTGAGCAAACGCTGGCAGGGGTTGCCCAGAGAGGCTGTAGACTCTCCAGCCTTAGACATATTTAAAACTTGACTGGACACAGAACTAAACAATCTGCTCTGATGGATCTTGTGCTGAGTTGAAAAGTCCTTTCCAAGCTCAAAGATTCTACAAAGTACTAAAATACCTATGAAAATGCACTTCTCTGGCACAGATCATCAGGCAAGATCCTCCCAGTGGTGGAACAACAACCTGGACCTGCTGAGAAGCCCCAAATCTCACAGCCAAATGGGTTGCTTTCAATTCCCCTCAGCAGAACTAGTTTGCAGAGACATGAAGAATGAAAAGCTACTTGCTCCCACAAGAGCTGCATTTTGATGCAGACTGTTCACAGGTATAATCCACTTCTCTACTCTTTTGCTCCAGAATCCTGCACACCTAATATTCCTAGTTAGGAGGAAAATCTGCTCTGTTAGCATAAAAAAGTGGGGAATCTGCAAGGCATAGACACACCACACAGTTATTAGTGATTGACTTTATTTCCAGCAAACAGTGCAATGCACATATTGGACAGCACATTTAGGTAATACCTGTTTTCTAGTCAGCAACTTCAATTTCCTGAAGCATACTGTAAATGAGCAGAATTTGTATGGTAGTAAAAGAAGCAGATCTGAAGGCACAATAGGACAAACCTCTTCTTCATCAGTCTGAATTCTAACTCTCATCAGCCTATCATAAAAGGCCATTCTTAACACACTTGTTTTCCTCAGTGTTTATTGCTCACCAGTAGTAAAGCAGATCTACCTATTTTTTTCTCCACTGGTAAACCTCACTAATTGCACAGACAAGGCAAAGGAAGGTAGTTTCTAGGCCATTGTGCGGAAAAAAATAAAACCATCACCCTTTTCTCCATACTATCCTTCAATTAATTGCATGCTAATGTATTTTAGTCTTAGTCTGCAGGTGTTACAAACTGCCAGCAGAGCACTGTGACATGAGGTGAGCTTGGCCAGCACCTGTATAAATGGCATACATTTCAGGTATAATCTTCTTGTTTCTTGTTTTGCATTTACCAAAAGTCAAAGGGCTTTCAGCTTTCTAAGCAACCATTGTCAAAAAGGGCAAGGCCTCCCCAGCATGTGTCCAAAGGAAATGGGTAGTGTTAAAAGTGTCTCTGTAGAGACAAGGCAACCTGGCAGTCAATTCAGAGAAGCAAAACAAAATGCTGCTACTTGAGCTATGGCTGTAATGATCCCATTCACTCCAGTTCTATCAGCACCATTCCCTTGAGAAATAACCCCAAGGAAAGCCCTGATAATGCAATGCAATGCCTTTGCTCTTGGTAACTCACTGTCTTACTTGGCAAGATGTTTGATAGCAGACCCAGACTGGCAGCTTAGTTGCTTTAGGACAACAAGTGTATTTTACTGAAGAGATGAAATTTTGTCAAAAAATTATTCTTAGAACATTGCACTTAAAAGATACAAAGATTGATGCTTCTAAGTTGCAGTCATAGTATTAACTTTTAAAATAAATTAGGCAAAAAGTAGATTAGCAGCACAAACACATCATTTACATCCTTCCCCCTCCCCACCCCAACATCCATAGTCATCAATGAGTCCCAAGATCACCACCTCCAAAAAGACATATATTTCACAGGTTTTGCACCAACACAGCGTATTTTCATTTCACAACATTTCCATTTCTAGAACCTGATGTTTCTGGAAACTTCTGAACGACTGAGTTTAGCAGGGAATGCTAATGGCACCAGTCGTGCAGCCCCTCCTCATGTTCAGTGAATGGCAGGGAAAAGCCAGGGCCACTAGAGGCTTTCCTGGCTCCCTGCCAAGCACATTCGGTTTCCTGGTCCCCCAGAGCTGCCAGTTAGTAGTTTGTGATGAAGGATCATATTTAAGGCATCAGAACAGACAGAACTAAAGGAATTCATTTCAATTACCGTATTTCCAGCATGAGGCAAAACCAATATTTCAAGTGAAAGCTGTTGATTAACCTTTAGAGTGGTTGCTAATGAGAAGTGAGGCACCTTGAGTTCACAGCTGCTGAAGAAGCAGACCTTTCCCACCACCTTTAACAAGGCCCACTTGAGAGGTGCTAGTCTCTGAATTTTGGGCATTTTCAGTCCTTCTTTGCTCGACCTTTGAAGTTATCCATGAGATTTAGGATTCCTAAATAGTCCGCAAGGAGAATACCTATTTTCACTGGCAGGATACTGTAAGACAGGGGAGTAGAAGAAGAGAAACAAAAACCAAAACAGACATCAGATGAACTGTGCAATTTTGTCACAGAACTACTTTTTCCTGGCTAATCCTCTCTAGAATTCTCTCTAGAATACACTGTCATTGGTCCTCTCAAAATATCCTTCGCACTCCTTTGGCAGCCTGTCCTTTTAGACAGATCAATTTCCCAACCTGGCTTGCAACTGAGTCAGAAGTGTCCTAAGGCTGGGGCAAGACACCAGATATGCAGTTACTGAGGAGCTGGCCCAGTATCTATACCCATACATAGTCAATTCTGTCATTGCTCTGAGGTCCAAGGGTAGACTGAACCCCTAGAAATAAATAAACCCCAACACTCCAAAAGTGTGCAGAACTTAAGGAAAATTCACACCAAGAAGTAGAAGCCTCATTTCCACTTTTAGCCAAAACATAGCTGGAACATTCCTGGACAGAAAAGTGAGAGGAAAACAAGGAAAGGCAAATCTTACCTTTTCAGAAACATGACTAAATAACCAAAGCGTGGCAGCACCAATATTTCTTGGTCCTGTCGAATAGCTGTGACTATCTTCTCAGCCACATACTCTGGGTCCAGAAGGGGAAGTAAACTTGGCCACCTGGAAGAGAAGACATCTCTTAGTACAATACAAATTGTTTTGGACTCCCATTTTACTCAGAATAAGTCTCCATACTGCAGGTGTTCAGCTAAAAGAAGAAAGAAGTACCAAAAACCCAAGGAACGACCGAACTTCTATTATGATAGGACTGAGTAGCCATTTTTCATTTCCATCTGTATCATCTCTCAGGAGACAAATCCACAGAGTCCTCCTATTCAGACACACTAGGCTTTTATTCAGCTCCTAGATTTTGTCCTTATACAAGCACACTAAGCAAAGCTACAACACTGATTTCAGGAGCTGAATGGGACTGCAGAAACCAGAGAGGACACCTGGAGCATTTGGCTTCTGCAGAGGAAAGGACACCAATTATGTTTCAGCTTAGAAGAAAAGTAGCAAGAGCTTTGTCATGTGGGTTGCCCAGTCACTGGATAGAACTGACACCCATCTGAGGCCCTAAAAAGAACACCTGCAAGAGAAAAGCCTAGCTCCTGGTTTTCATAAAGGAAATAGGAAATAGTTTTCATAAAGGAAATACGTAAAATGCTGAGCATGCAAGTTGCATAAAAACCTCACAGGAGTTTACTCACTTGCTTTTACAGCCATCAAACATTCCTGTGTTTATGACAAAAGGACACACAATTGTGGTTTTCACACCTGTCTTTCCCAGATTATTCATCTCTAAATGAATTGATTCTGCAAAACCAACTGCTGCAAATTTACTTGCACAGTAATCTGTAAAATAAAGACAACATCCATTGCAGTCAAATGTTTTAATTCATTAACTGAACTTTACTAAAGAGATTCAGGGAGTCCTACCTCTGAATATGTACACAGTTCAGCAGTAACAGAGTTTTAACAGAGAACAGGGACAGAACTGTGCTCTGCTAAGTACGCAACTAGCCATGGGGGGGTTCGGGGGTGGGTTTAACAGTAAACAACAGCAGCACCATAGTACAGAAACAATGGCTCAATGTCCAGATGGAAAACAGTGACAAGTGGTGTCCCTCAGGGGTCCTTAGTGGGACCACTACTGTTCCTGTCTTCATTAATAATATTGACAGTGGCATTGAGAGCACCCTCAACAAGTCTGCTGATGACACCAAGCTGGATATTATGGCCAATATGCCAGAGGGATGGGATGCCATCCAGAGGGACCTGGACAAGCTGGAGAAGGGGGCCCAGGTGAACCTCATGAGGTTCAACAAGGCCAAGTGCAGGGTCCTGCACCTGGGCTGGAGCAACCAGAGAAATGAACACAGGCTGGGGGGAGACATGCTAGAGAGCAGCCCTGTGAAAACACACCTGGGAGTCCTAGTGGACCAAAAGCTGGACATGAGCCATCAATGTGCAGTTGCAGCCCAGAAGGCCAACTCCATCCTGGGCTGCATCAAAAGAAGTGTGGCTATCAGAATGAGGGAGGTGATTCTGCCCCTCTCCTCTGTCCTGGTGAGACCTCATCTGGAGTCCTGCATCCAGCTCCAGAGTCCCAAAATCAAGAAGGATGTGCACCTGCTGGAGCGTGTCCAGAGGAGGGCAACAAAAATGACCAGAGGGCTGGAGCACCTCTCTTATGAGGACAGGCTGAGGGAGTTGGGATTGTTCAGTGGAGGCCTCATCCCTGGAGACATTCAAAGTCAGGCTTGACAGGGCTCTGAGCAATCTGGTCTAGTTGGAGATGTCCCTGCTTTTTGTAGAGGGGCTGGACTAGATGATCTTTAGAGGTCCCTTCCAACGCAAGACATTCTATGATTCCATGATCATATATAAAGAGAACCTGCAGGAAACCACTATCTGAGAATAAAATACAACAGAGTAGGGACTGTTTTCAGGGTTAGGTTCCTAACACAATTTGCCTTTGATGTGATTCACTCCTTTCCTTTCCCTCTCCTAAATTAACTGCTGTTCTAGACTTGCAGACAGGGCGTTTCTCATGGCATTCCT